GGGCTGTGCGAGCTTTTCTCATCTAGGAGCTATTGTCCCATCAGCTGCAAGCCGGCAGCTGGAGACCAGAGTGCCAGTGCTCGGAGAGCTACCTCATCGTTGTGGGAGGGCCCTGCCTGATTACATCCTGCTTCTTCACAGGCATCCAGAAGGTACTCACATGCCATGACATGGGATGCTTTGAGAGAAGAAGGCAGGCTTTGTAAGCAGTTGAGGAGACTGAACCAGTACTAAATACATTTAACTAGCACCACAGAAAAAGTGAAATACCTATTTAGGATAGAGGTTTGTGGGAGCACTGGATTATCATTGCTTTTTTGTACAGGCAGAGTTTATCAAAGGACTTTCAGATAAAGGGATTTCCAGATTTCAGGGAGCAGTGTCAAGCTTAAAGGACAAGTAAGTAAATAAACTAAATGCTCCTATTCAAGCAAGGAGCATGACCTACCAAACTTGAGGGCTCATTTCCGTGGCTTTGGTTCAAGTCCAATTCCAGTTACTTGCCAGTTTTTACTCTGTTGGCTTTTGATGTACTGCCTATTTGACCTTGCAGTGATGATACAGCACTGAATTTTGACCTTCCCCTTCCCAAGCAAAAGTTGGTAACAAGAGGATGCCCATAACTAACATCAGAGCTAAAAGCCTCCAGCAGTAGTCTTTTGTTTTCTCCCCTTTGTCTGTATGTGTACACACACACACACCCCCTTCACATTTCTGTTTAACTCCCACTTCGGAGGATATCTGAGATACACGCTCCAGCATTTAAAAATCTGCAGTGCAGCTCATATTTTGAACTCAAGGTTTCACGTGCAAGCTAGGAATGGATTGCGGTGGTGACCCCAAAGCCAGTAACTCATTGGAGTCCTTGTGGGAGAAGGGCCGAAGGTTTGGTTTCCATTCACAAAAAACTCACATCTTTGTACTGCCTGGTATTAAGCAAGCCAGCCTGCAAACAGTAAGTTACTTCATGGCCAGATGAGAGCCAAAGTAATACCTGATAAGACTTCTGAACACTTAGTAAGATAGTTTACAAAGTGTCCTAGACATGAGATTAAAAAAAAAAAAAAAACAAACACAAAATCAAGCCAACCTCAACAGTATCATTGTGTATAAAAATAACCTCAGCTGTGGTAACTACTTGGCTAGAGCATACAATGGTCTAAGGGCCCTCCCACCCCTCCCTTTCCCATACCCCCATCCCCAGAAGAAGAAAAGGAGAACAAAAAAGAAACTATTGTAGGTAGCAATACAAGACATTAGGACACTGTCCACAATGATGGGCTTACGGCATGTAAATACATTTATTCTATATGTAAGCAACAGAAATAGCAAGAAACCCAAGGAACAGACATGTTTTGCCCTGTGGGTATTGCAGACTCCAACATGTCTCATGCGTGTCTGCATTTCTGCCAGCGAGATGGAAAAAAGTCTCAGTCTCCCATGGCAACAAATATTGGGAGACCCTCACTGCTGCAAAATTTTCAAGATTCAGTAAAACAGCATTTAGGTCTTACACTGTTTAGTGAGATACAGTGGATCAACTGTGATCAGAAATTTTGGGAAAAAAAACAACTGAACCCCAAAGTTACCCTATACACTGACAGTCACCTTTACAAGAACACAACACAAGAAGAACTGAAGAAAAAAAATCAAGTGAAAAGGACTGCCTCCCATAAATGGTTCTTACTTGGAAATTAAAGGTTTTCCTCGAAGTCAGTAGATATTTTATATATATTTATATAATATATATACTATTTATAGCGCTAGCAATCAACAGGTAATGAAGAGATGGTGTGGAGAGCAGCAAGACTGCTCGGGTACAGAGCCAAGGGTGAACAACTAAAACAATAAGCATTTTAAAAAATAGCAATAACTGGAGGATAAGAAGCCTGCAGCCTTTTCTTTTTTCTTTTAAAGCAGATGTGCTTGCCTGACATAAAATGTTACAACAACTTTTAAGAGTCTGTTCTGTCTGCCAAACGTCTTTGTCAGAGCCACCCCACAGGAAAGCCTTTTCCCACGCGAAGTTGCTCGCCGTGGATGCAGCAGCACGCTGGAGCCACTGCTCAGCCCCACAAGATGGCACTGTGTCCATGCAATCCAAGTGGAGGGACTGCTGCTGGTTTTTCTCCCACGAAAAATAATAGCCTGAGCAGATCTGGCTGCTCTTGCTTCTCACCCTCCATCCTTGGGGCAGCAGGATTGGAATGCTGAGTGGTGAATACCACTAGTCTCTGCCAGAGCCCTCTCCCACAATGCACACCTGGCCACTGCTGTACCCCCAGAAAAAAGAAAAAGCTGGGCAAAATTAATGCAGGGAAGTGTGAGGTGAAGTGGGAGCTGCTTTGGCAGCAGTGGCAAAGAATGAGTGTGGAGCTGCTGGGATGAGCTGCAGCAGGTGACAGAAGGTTTCTGAGCAGCCAGGGTGGACGCTCTGAGCAGCCATGGTGACGCTCGTGCCCTAGTCATGTTCAGCGATGAACGGTTATGTTCTTGACCTCCAGCTACCTCTATGGATGCTTCTCTTGATCAGAGTGTGCATTTTTCCTCACAATAAATCCCCTTTACTGTGATGCTGGGAAAGGAAAGTGCCCCAGCATACTTTAAGATAAAGTTGTTCATCTGTACTTCTTGCAGGAGGCGTGAGAATGTAGGTCAGAGAGCTGGCAAAAGGATCATCCACTTATAGCAATACAGATAACTATGAGACACTTTCTGGGTGTCACTGGTATGACCCCAGTGAGAAGGGTGCACATGCTGCCCACCTGGCAAAAGCTGAGAGCTGGGGAGTACCAGTGAGCCTGGGGATCAGCCAACACAGACTGAGCTGAAGATGGGAAAGGGTCAAAGGACAGTTCAGCTCATGCACCCACCTTGGACGCAGAGTCATAAAGGAAGGACACATGGGAAAGGTGAAGAAGCACAAACTAAATACAACTGGTTACACCTGAAGTTGGCACAGGAGGAAAAAAAAGCTGAGACCTATTTTAGTGCTCCAAGGTGAGTAAAAGGTGTGGAGAAAGGGCAGAGCTGGAAGCCCCAGTACAAGCCTCTTGAAGTTAAAAGCAAAATTTACATTAGCATTGCAATGGGCTGCATCAGATGCCCAAGGTGAAAAAGAAGATGGCTGGCTGTTGAAAGGATGCCCATAGCGTCTCCACATTAAGAGAAGGTGGGGCTTACTCAGGCTAAATGCACACAGATGTTGAAAGTTACAATGTATATCCTCTGGTCTCCAGTTTTCACTGAAATGCTGGTTGGAAAACTGCCAAGTTACCTCTTACAGGGAAGGGAACTTTTTGTGCTTGCTGCCCAGCGGTCAATCAAAACCCCACTGGTTTTGATTGACCTTATTTACTGGTCAGGGAGCTGAGAAACAAAAGGTGCCAAGCCTACGGAAATGTCAAATGGAAAAAAAGGTCAGATGAAATTTTCTTTTCATTTTGACCAATGACATTTTCAAAGTTACCTTCAAAAGCGCAATATGGAAAGCCTTGGGGAAAACAAAACCAAGACCACAAAAGAGAACAAGCCAACTCCAGTCACAGGAAGCATACGGAGTGGGAATACGTACGTGGACGGGGCATGCATGTGTGCACAAAAGCAATAACCAGGGCCTGGCTGGAAACCTGGAGTGGGTGGGCTGGGGAAGAAAGGCTTTTTGTGCAAGAAGTAGAGGACAGACAAGTCTGGCTGTAAAACTACTGCAATCCTATTCACTGTCATGTATCAGAGTCAGTCTTTTCACTGAGCAGAACACAAAATACGTTTGCAGTGACAAGCATTTTTGGTTTGCTCCTTTTGCAGAATTCAAACTTTACCTGTTTGTGGTGGCCTAGAGGGACAAACATCTCCTGGTCAGCCAGTGAGAACCTGCAGCTCCCTGACTAGGCAGCGGTGGTGGCAGGAGCACAGTGAAGGCAGCAAACTGCAGCACACAGGATTTCAATTTCACCACTCCATTGTCCTACACAGACCCACATGACACAGGCTGCAGCAAAGCCTGGGAGTATCCGTGGAGATCACCAAGTGCATCTCACACAGAAATGGCCCAGCAGAGGGTTGGACTGTCAGTAACCCCAACCACGGCAAACATTACTGAAGGTGGATTTCAGTAAAAGTGAGTACCTGCAGCTCTGTGGGGAACAAACAGGAGTTGCTGGCTCTCAGACCGCTACACAACAAAGCAAACAATATGGAGGCCCACCTTGGATGCACAAATCAGGTGGCCAGTGTCAGTGCCTCCACATGCTTGCACCTGTGGTCTTGAACCAGTGGTCCATGTGTATTTGGACTGGGAGGCTGCCTCTGGTTCACAGCCACCTTGGGACAAGACTGCTTCTTGGAGCAACCTGAAAGCACCAGGGTGGTGTAAAACATCCCAGGGGGAGGGGTGTTGGGTCAGATACTTGGTGAGTGCAGATCAGTGACTTTAGCAGAGCGTCACCTTTGCATCTAGCATGATGCACAGCAAGGCTGACACGAGGTGAGCAACCTGTGTGGGCTGGCAGAGGACTTCGGAGGAGGAGTATGATAGCTGACAAAGGGAAGGGCAGATGGCATATAGAAGGACATATCTTAGAAGACCTTCAGGAAAGGGACAACAGGTTCCATAAAATCAGAAATTATTCATTCTGCTGCTGACAAAATTAGAAAAAAAGTAATAATGGTAATAATAATAGTCATTATAATCCTTGCACTAGATACTAATCAGTAAAAAAATTATCATAGTAACTTTTCTCTTTATTTTTTTCTGCATTTCTATCCCCCTCCCTCCCAACCACTCTGAATTGCATATCTGGCCCCCTCATATAGCAAAGGGGTGGAAAGGGTGTGAATTGAAAACTAAGTCAGATCCTGCATTCCCCACTGTCTTATAGCTGTTCTCCACACAGGCTCAGTGGGGCTGCCTTGGGAAAGGAAGGGAACATTACCTGTGTTCCTGCTTATCAGCCAGGGTACCTGCTTTCCAGATGCACACCTCTCAAACCCTGATTTTCTTTTTTTTTTTACAAGTAGGTCTAGGAAACAGAACGATGACAGGAGGATCATTGCGAGACAACCAATGTGCAGAATTGTAGCCAAAATCTGAATTCACCAGAAACCAATAATAGCCACAACCACCTGTCCATGGCCTTGTCTAGAATGGCTTTAAACAAAAAATATAAAGAGCCATGGACAGTCTCCTTACCCCTGTCCAGAATTTGATGTAAACAACATCCATAGAAAGTGGGATTGTTAAGAAAGTTTATCCATATATCTGGATAGCAATAAAAAGCGTTTCCTAGGAAACTGTAAAATCCTGTACCAAGCAGTGTACAGCCAAGCCGAGAGGAACATTACGTTGATTTATATTTTCAAGGTACAACTTTGCATGATTTCTTTTTGATCCTGTGATAATGTACAAGGAGAACATGTGTGAAGGTCAGGGCTGGTTTTTTTGTTTATTTGCTTCCTTGCTTTCTTCTCTGAAACATCTCTTGTGTAACTCATTGGTCTGGGTTTTCATTTCAATTCTCGTTTGCAATAACAGGGCATTACTGCTCTCTGCGTCTGTCCTTCCTGTTCATGCCAAGGCTGCATTAGTAATTTCCTTCTGCTGCCAAAGAAACAACTGTTTCATGTCTTCCCATTTCTTCAAGAACTGCTGCCAGCATGCTCAGGTTGCCATCAGGGAAATTCTGGGCTTCCCAGAGATCCAGGATCACCCCGGTGGGACTCGATTTCGTAGCAAAATAATTTAAGTACCTGCAATGAGCCAAAAGGAAACTCATTTCTTTGAGCTGCATGAAAACTACCTGAATTCATATGATTTCAACCCATTCCCATTTCTGGTGCTCTCAAGGTGTTAATCCCTTGTGCAGTCAGTCTGATCAGTCTGTACACCTGCTCTCACTCACCTAGAGGGACATCCAACAAGACTCTTCTGCACATACCTCCCTGGGCACTTCACTGCCCAACCACACATAGGCAGCCCTGCTCACCTGTCCAGTTTCAGCTTGTGGGCCAGCATCCTCCAGTCGTGGCCTCTGGTCTGAGGTGCATCCAGGCTGCTGCACAGCTTTTGCCTTATCGGGAGGGGGATGCTGAAAGCGCTGGGCCCTACTATGGTGGTGATGGTGCCTGCTGAGTCCATGGGAGGATAATCGATGCCAGTAGGTTCCTGAGATTGGAAAGACAGGGAAAAAGCTCAAACAACCCATCAGTTTTGTTACTGAGTGCAGAGACAATTGTAGAACTGTATCCTCTGAGACTCAGTGCTTTTACTTGTAGCCCTCTGCCAATCAAGTGTTTAGGTTAGTCAGCTGGAAAAGAGAAATATTTACAATCAATTTTGGGTAGACAAAAGATTTTTTTTCTCTTTTTTTTGTGGGCAAAGATTACTATGGCTGGACAAAATTGAAACCAGCTTAATTAATCACTTACTAGAAATAATGAAAGATCAGGCACTTCAACACATTTCAGAGCAAATCGCTATTACTAGAACAGAATTGGGCTGACAAAAACCACCTTCCCAGCATCTCTGCAAGCCCCCCCTGCCCCACCAAGCCAGCACCGGGCTCACACCACTGACATCCTTCTGGCAGCACCCACGCTCTCTGAAGCCTCTGATGCTGCGCAGACCACAGACAGACAGTTAATATCGCCCCAGGCACAAGGTGATCCCTCATTTTTATGCAGCTTTAACTCTGTGCTGGAAATACATGGAGCTGGAAGAGATGTGCTCAGGAGGGGGCAGTCATTGTCCCCCCCTCCCCAAGACCAGCGCTGTGCTCAAAGGCAGTATGGCAGCAAGTGTTTCAAAGGAAAAGTCACCTCCAAAGCCAGCTTGTCCCCTGCAGGTATGGTGTTGGTTCTCTCTGATGTGGTCCTCCCAGCTGGGAGGCTCCCCATGACACCACTGTTAACATGGCTCTGCTGGGAACAACATCAGGTGGCTCTTCTGGGCAAGGATTTTGTCTTTCCCTTGGCCTGGAAGGATTTAGCACCCACAGGCTTGGTAGTTGATAGGACAATGGTAGCCGGCCAATTTGGATGGTTGGGTTTGCTTAGGAACAGCGATGTCCTCCAGGGTGGCTGAAAGCCCCACCAGACCTCATTTATGCTGACTGGCTGCCCAGCTGTGCAGTGGGAATGCTGCTCACATGTGCAGCACTTCCCACCTCCAGTGGAAAAATCAGCAAGCATGGCTGGTTCTGCCTTCATGCTTCTCAATCTATTTCTCAGTTTGGTCTCCTTTTCTGGCAGATGTGAGGGAGATCCAGATCACAGCCCCAGGCAGCCAGAAACAGTTCTGCTAAAGACCTGTCATTAAATGTCAATTTGTTTTCACCTCTGTGAGCTGTCTTGTTGCTTGGTGTCAAACTGGTGTTGAGAATGCCCTGTAATACCTGAAACTGTCTTAAAACCAGGTAACTCCTGATTTAAACTGCCATTGCAAACCACCCAAGAAGTTTGTTGGAGATGCTCAGAGTCACGTGCAGTCTTCAATTTCCCAACTCCAAATGGATTCAAAGATGGAAAGTGGAGAGCCAGTATCCATGAGCAATGAACAGAATTAAATCTTTTGCCTCCATTCTTTTATCTACACCAATTAATTATCTTAACTCTATAAATATGATATTTTTTGCCTTTGTTTTAATAGAAAAGGCATTTTAGGCAGTGAAATTTCTAACCAAGGAATTAACTGTAATGTCCTCAGTTAACATTGCAAATGTGACATTGTGACATCTGTACTTGGGTTTCAAGGCCCTGCATCACAGACTGTCTGCCCCAACCCCACTGCTTCAAGCAATGCCCAACTGTCTGGCAGTAGGAGCTATTCAGGAGGAGGCAAAATTATGACATTGCTGCTGCCTGCAGGCTCACCTGCACTGGGAGGTAGGAAGCAGCAGCAGAGTGGTGATTGGGGCATTGCAGAGAGATAACCTTTTCTTTATATTCTGGGCCAAAGGACACAAGCGCTGCTCTGGCTCCAAAGCTGGCCTGCAGCGTCAGGTGTTTCAGAATTGCTACAGAAGGAACCCAGGTATCCATGGCATTGCCCCGTGGCTCTTTTGTGTGATTATCAACACCAGGAGATAAAAAGAGGGCTTCAGAAACAAATGGCGGGGGACCTTTATTGCAGTCTTCCTCCTGCTTTGCAAATATGCATGTTTTGGCACTCATTGCATTTGTATTTTTGAAGTGCCAGTGGCAGACACTGTAAAAGCCAGTATAAGATGGTTTAATCTGGAGAAGTCTTACATCCTTTACAAGGGACTAAAAAGAAAGCCCATAAAGGGAGAATGCAGGAAACTGTGTTACTATATTTTTACTACAGGGTGACAGAGGCAGAAAGGCAGACCCAACAATAAAGAAAGATGCCACCAGCAATAAAGAAAGATGCCAGCACACTCCTGCAATGTTTAACCACTAGCTGGATACCACTAGCCTAACCTCAGAAGAAAATGTGAGGCACCACAGCTAAGGTTTCCTGAAGCCTGGTCTGATGTCTTTACCACACTTCTAGAGACATACACATCCGTTTCCAAGTTCCAGGTGACCTCTCATCAAATCTCTGAGATTTTGGATTTTTTCCTATTTGACCCTATATGCCAGCTCTTGGCAGCCCAAGGTCCTCCTGCCCCTTGCTTGGGCTTGGGAACATCACGAGGTGTAAACAACAAGGAGCAATTTTGCAGGAGGCAGCCTTGAAAGCAGTGGTATTATTCACTCCCTCTATTCATCCTTGATGGATAGGATCACAGCACAAGACAAGAATATTACCCTGTTCCCTCTGAATCTATTACCAGGCTATATTACATACAGCCAGCTGAAGATGATTATAGTGTATACTTGCATTTCATTAAAGTTACTTTCAGTTCTTTCTCTTCTCTGTGAGGTTAAATTAGTGATTACCTCAATGCAGCACTTATTACAATAATTGTTTAAGATGCTTGTTTTACCATCTGTCCTTAACGCTGTGTAGTCCCCAGATGAATCTGTAACTGTACACTCACTAACCAAGCAGATGTTATGGGTAATAGCACACAACGTTAGGGCCCTATAGCACAAGTAACTTTTGTCTCTGGTCTCACAGCTCTTCCAGAAGTCAGCCAGCAGTAATTGCTGCCTGAGAGTCTGCTCCTCGTAGCTGCCAAGGGTACCAGGAATAAAACCCACCAGCATATTCACTGAACTCAAGGCCACTTGACATTTGAATGTGTTACTTGGTCTCAGTCCCAAACTTGACTGCCCCAAGAAGCAAAAGTTCTCCAGGTTCTATATAGCACTGGCAAAGATGTTACCAAACTTATGATAAAATTTCTACTGGAAAATATCAGCCATCAAAAGAAAAATTGCCAAAAATAATAGTCAGGATTTGTAGCAGTAGAAAAATACGAGGAGAAAAGTTTACTGCAACTAGACCGTTTGATATTCCCTATTGCACTGCAGCTACTGTGTGGGATCAGAGGGGAGTGGCTCATGAAACATGTGGCACTCAAGTTTTCCTATTCTCTTTTCTCCTTCTCCAGGAACATCAGGCATGATGGGTCTCATGGACTGACAGGAAACAGGACCAAGCAGTGCTTCATGAGATACATCAGGAAGTGGTAGGAAAAGAGCTCCTCCACATAGACATAGAAAGGTAGCACTAGCAGGGAGACCAAGGCTGCTCTCCTCACTCCCTTAAAGGAGTGATTCTTCCTTCCAGAAGAGAGAAACTAAGGGAAAATGCAAGAGGAGATACAAAGCAATAATTTAATCCATTCTTTATGTCTATCCCAGCAGTCAGGAGGAAAATGGGAAGCACTAAACAGGTAGCAATGGGAAAGTTCATACCTCCTTAGCCTCCCACAGTCCTGCAGTTGGATAGAAAAGTGCGCAAATGTCATTTACCTCTGAAACAGAGCAGTTGAGCTGGAAGATTTGTCCTTCTCCTTCGACCTGCCGCACACAGAGTTTGCACACCAGCTCCAGGGTATTCAGACTGAACCTTTCCAGTGTGAAGGTGCAGTGCAGGTTTCTCTGACATCCACTCCAGATGTGGTAAAAGGGTATCTCCTGCAGGAGGAAAGCAAAAAAGTATAGTCAGGGAGGGATTTGAGATCAATGCATGGATGCTATGTGACCAGAGACTGTGGGCTCCATGCTACTGTGAATGCAAATGGTCCACGGGAAGAACTGTCCATGGGAATATAGCCTGGCACCTGGTGTTTTTCAAACACACCTGTGCATGACACTATTTCTGTAATCCTCACCGCTAGGATCCAATGTGAATGTTTTGTGTTGCTCACCTGGTATTTAGCCAGCAGTTTGCTCTTCCAGAGAGAGTGGGCAATATCATGAATGGACAGACGGAGATTGTGAGTGCTTCCCTTAAAATGCAAAGCTTTGGGCTCCTCCAAAAGCTGCCCACCCATCTGCCGCTCAAGCTGCAGGACCTCCTGCAGTATTGGGATAAAAAGAAGAGAGTGGTCAGGTTTCATCAAGACAGAACAATGGTCTTCTGAGTGCTCAAGACTGTCAGTCGTAGATGCTGTAACTTGTGTAATATAGATAAAAAAAATACACAGGCATTGTGTTTCCCTGTGAACTGGAACTGCATTAGTGGATCTGAGTATAAGCCACTCACCCCCTTCATACAGCAGCAGTCTAGCAGAGATGCAGACACCTCTCCTTTGGGAGACGCAGTGTTATTTTGCATGTCCTTAATTAGAAGCTTAATTGCATGCTATTATATGGAATGCAAAGACTTTGCACACAGTCACCGTTTGAGTACAGAAATAGATCAGTCTTCTCCATTGCTCATCAAACTGGACATCTAATGGTAGCTTTGCTATTTTGTTTTTGGAAACTCTTATTGGTGTAGGTCCTGCTGATATGGGACCTGTGCATTACCGCTGGTCTTTCACCTTGTGGCCTCCTGATGAAGTGCTCTATGACAGAGTGGTACAGGAGATAACAGATGCCTATGCTGAGACTGTCAAAGGGGGTGGTATGGAAACAATGCAAGACACTGTGATTGAGCATTTTGTACATATGAATATGAATGTGTTGGTTCAGGGTTACTGCAATGTTGATCATGCAATTAAAAGCTAGTGAGCCAAGAGTCTGGTCATTTTCTGAAGCAAAAAATAAATATAAGCCTTTAATTAATAAGACCACAGTGGAATATTGCCTACAAACAGCCTAATTGTAGACCACATGGGAGAAGCAAGTACAAAGGCACCTACATGGGCCCTGTTAGAAACCAACACAGCCCATCTCGGTCATATTTAATTAAAAGAGCCATCCAACCAATGAGTCTCATGTGGCCAAAGACAATCACACACAGAGTGAGAATGCTCAAGGAATACATGGGCACACAAAATCAGGATACTACCCCAGGATGAATAAAGGAGCCTCCATTTTAGCTAAGCTATTCCTGACCACATTCAGGGAGCTAGTTAGCATATAAGAAAAGCCCCCATCCCAGCATATGGCAGACCCTGAAGCTAAAACAATGTTCTTTTATTGGCCGCTAGAGGAAAAGAAACAAAATCAGGACACCTTTGAGATTACGGTTATGCCAATGAATCAGTTCCAGCTTTTTTCCAGTGCCACCTAATTACTTTGTCAAGATGTCTAAAGAGCAATCGATAGCAATTATCTGATTACTATAGATCTTCATTATGTCCAAATTACCTCCCTGGAAGGGCCAGAAGATGACTTGTGAGCTAATTGCAGATGCCACCTCTCAGGCATGTGGGGCATGGGTGTCGAGAAACTGCTCCTGCTCGTGCTGCAGCAGCTCTAGGAGCTGCACTACTGTGGGGAAAAACACTGCAGTGTGATGCTGCACCATCCCACCCACCAGATCTGGGTGTCTAGTTTCAATATCCCACTTTTGCCTGGGACCCTTTTGGTGACCCTTGGTCACTGCAGACCTTCTACATGCTCTTACTGGAGGATGCTGAGCAGCCTGTGCTTATCCCATGCCCCTTAGCTAATTAATTTAGAATTTATATGGCTGGTTCCTGCCATACGGCATTTTATTTAGAGCAATGCTTATCCTGCTGACTGACACCTCTATGTTCTCCTGAGCTAAAACCTGAGCTGCATGTTCCTTGCCCCATGCTGAGGTGGTTGCAGCCACTCTGCCCATTGCCCCTCACCACTGCTGTGAGGCAGGACTTATGCTCTTACACCCTTCCTAGGAGAGAGTGCTGTGTAAGGCATCACTCTATCATCAGTGTAACCAGAACAGCCACAACCTGGGCCTACTCATTAATGGGGCACAGGCAAGCAGTGGTGTTCAGTCTAAGCTGTTGCCTTCCTTCAATAAGAGGAAATGTGCATTAAATAACTGAGAGAAGATCATAAGCCTGTTGTGCCCCTTTTTGTGTGGTTTTTTTGAAGACAGTTACTGTGCAGCATGAGGCAGGTTGGGGGATGCCACCCTGCTACTGCCTGAAGTCATTCGCTCGCCCCTAGTGTGGGAGGCAGCTGTTTTCATGTGCCTGTAGGCTCAGTCCCTGCCACACTGCCACACACAGGTCACATACCCCAATCTCAGAGCCACACATGAATAAACAGAATAAAGCAGCTGGATTTCTTTATAGTTATCAAATTATTACCTTTTTTTAGTTTATTTGTTTTAGCAGACCAGCTTGGGCACCCCCCTCAAAGTGCAAAAATAAGCCTTAAAAAACAGAGGCCAGTGTTCGAGGTCACAGCTACCCTTACCCGTGCCCAAAAAGCATTTTTGTGAGCATCCCATCTGGGTAGCTTGGGACCTGAGGGTCAGAGGGTGCTGCATGTGTGATCAGCGCTGAGCCCACACTGCTTTGCACCCCCCAGGAACCTCACTAAGTTGCTCCCACAGTAACTGAGTCCTTATTGATGAGAAGTCATTACACTTTCCCACTGTACTGCAGATGCTGGCAGTTCAGCAGTGAGTGCTTACTCTGCATGATGAGAGGGAAACTTCTGCTGAATAAACACTGCACTGTGTTTTATACTGCAAATACTGATCTTCCTTTGGTGGTTGTTAAGACACATTCAGCATATGGCACACTCATTCCTAGTTGTAAATAATAACAGAATGCATTTGGTTGTCTATTAAAATACACATAATTCCCTACAAAGGCCCTTCCGAACCTCAGACATTTCAATGTGGGAACATCTCACGCTGCTCTTCCCTTCCCTGCCATGCTTTGCCCAGAGCAGCCAGCCTTGAGACACCAAGATGCTGTAGCTGGTGCCTTGCCTGCTGTCTGCAACTTTTCCTCCCTCTCCAAAATACTTGTGACTTCAGGATCTGCTGGCCCAGTCCTGTCTGCATGCCGTGTCCCACACTCCCAGTGGTGATTGCCCAGTGAGTGCCTTCCCTTTGGCAATATGGTAGTGCCAAGGATATCTTCCCTGCACTGCCAGGGCTGCTTTGGTACCAGCTGCTGTGAAAGCATGTGGCAACCACCCCAACCTTTTGTTTTCTTTTTCAGTAGTCATAGTTTGAGTCTGTATCACAGGGATAGTTAGTACACACTGGTTTGTATGCACTGGTTCATGTGCACCCATTTATACACATCAGTTCATAGTCAATCCTTTCATCTACATCTATTTTACCCATCTACAGCTAATTTACTAGGTTACTTTTTTTTTTTAAACCTTCACCTTCCCTAGACCTTTCATTTCCAAAGAATGGCAATTGATACTTTTGTAAGTGTCTGTGGTCAGCAAGTATGTGTGCTTGTCCTCCTGCAAACCACCAGACAGCTGCATCTTAAACTCCATGGGTGGCCTTCCAGTTTTAGGGTAGATATGCCAAAAAAAAAGAAAATTAAAATGCATGAACTTGCTGTAAAAAAAGTAGCAGGTATGAGTGGGATGGTGGCTTCCTGACTTTGCTCACCTTTCCTCACAAAATTACAAATGATCTCACTTTGGGGTCTACCTGCAGCTGAAGCCCAAGGATTGACCTGCTGCCCTCCAAAATGTTGGCTGCAGCTTCTCAGATGAAGGATGTCCCTCTGTGTGGCTCTGTGCCTCTCCTGATCCCTTCTACTGTTGTACCGAATTGGATTAACTTTACCTCACAACTCTCCCTTACAGTCTATTAGAAACAGACCAACAGCTCTTGAGTAACACCTAATTAGATTCCTCAGCTCTGACTGCATTAGCTGGCTGTCCAAGGGCTCTCCGACTCACTTATTATTACCTCAGGCCTTGTAGAACCCGTGGAAAATTGTATTATGCAGCACAGACATAAAACCGTCAGGGTTTTTGAAGCTTGATTGCTATGAAACATCCTTTTCACTTTTTTTTAAAGGAGGAAAAACAAAAGGGAAATCAGACCAGGGAAAATAATTGTTTCTAAAAGGCTGACAACACCACTGCAGTGAAGGAGGCCAAACTCCCAGGCCCTGTCACGATGTGCCTGCTTCAGCCCTTATACTTGGCTGCCTTTCTTACATATAGTGAAAGAGTATCCCCCCAGCAAAGCCTAGGCAGGCAAAACTTGATATCAGATAGTATCGGGGAGGAAAACTAAGCATGCTACTTGCAGTCATGGAAGTCACTGCTCTGAGAAACACAAACATCTCCCAGCCAGTGTATGTGGGTTTAAATCCTCATAATTCCCATGCAGAGCTGAGGGGGAAAAAAGCATATAAAGCACCAGGATGACTCTGCTTAGTCAGGCTTTGAACTCATTTTGCTGCAAAGAGGCATTTGTGAAATTGCATTGGTTACAGTAAAAAAACCCAAAACATCTTTTAATAAACTCCATTCTTGCATGTGCAGTTGGAGCTATGTATTTCATGAGTCTATCTATTATACATACCATTGGTATAAATACAGGTATTTATAAAGAGAAACAGCAATTATGGTTATCTATATGCTCATCTCTATGTAGTGAGCATGTGTTTGTGTGCATGCCAGAACTATGCAGGAAGAGTGAGGTTATATATTTAGGGATAGCAACAGCTTTGGTTTATTTCAGTTGTGAATTCCCAACACAAAAAACTGCACGCGAAGAGGTGTAATAAAGCAGTTTGAAAGCAGGCAGTGATTAACGGGCCAGAAGCTTCTTTTATCATTATCATCTATTTACAAAGAAGCATTTATATGTTTCTCCATCTCTGGGGAGCTGGCACTTAGCATTAAAAATACATGAATAACGAATGAAGCCCCGTGTACCTTATGGCCTTTTAATAATGCAAAAACCTTAGGATTCAGGATATGATACAGGTAAACAAAGGAAAAAAGACTGGTGGGCAGAAAACAGCAGGAGATCCCTATGCAAAGGACAATTTATAGCATGTGGAGGTTAAACTGTAAAACAGCAGCTTGCTGCCAAGCTCTTCTTCTAATTAGAAAAATAATCCAGGGAGCGTGAATATATGGAGCAGAGGATCTAATCACCACTATCACTGCAGTCTTCGTACATCTGGAGAGGGACAGGAAAAGCAAGCAAGAGATCAACAACCACCTTAAGGGCATCCTGTGTGTCATCAAGGCAGTAGACCCGGATGCTGTACTCCAGCGAAGAGCAGGACAGTGGTCCAAAGATGGCCAGTTTGAGACGTTTGGCTGCTGCTTTGGTGATTGATTGTCCCACCAAGGCATACGTGCTGAGGGTTTCTGTCAGGATATGGCAGGCCTCTGGGTCCAGCTGGATATAGCATGGAGTGGTGAAATTTTCCTCCCCAACCACCACCACATCCTAAGGGAGAAAGAGGCCAAATTAGCGCATGCAATCTCTCACAGCTTGCTCTCCTTTGAGGCAGCAATGCCCCTTTCAAGCCTGGATGATGCAAAAAGTCCTTGCTGTTTGCACTTTAGATTAATCAAGATTAAAATTCCTGCTTCCAGCTTTTCTCCTGTGTAGGCACAGGGAGGACATGATTTCTCTGGGGTGCCAGTGGCGATGTTGGTGGTAGAAAACTCCTCCTGCCCTCCCTCCTTTAAGACTTGGAACTCCTTCCTTTGGGCCCTGCATCTGCTTTTAAGGCCCTGGGCAGAGTCAGGCAAATAATGAAAATATCACCAAGACTTCACTGAAAAATATATTGCAGAACTAATAATTTAGTGACCATGATTTAACACTAGTAGTCTCAGGCATGTTGAATAAATAACTGCTCTTTACTTCCTAAGCATGACAATAAGGAGTTATAAAAACTCAAGGAAGGGAAGTAACCTCTACAATGGCCAAATGCCACATCTACATAAAATATCACCTGCTGCTTCTCCAGAATAATCCTCCGTGACGAGACTGCAGGGTGAAGAAAAAAAATACATACAGCCTGAATGCCTGACCTCCCCACCCTGGGCGTGCAGGAAAACATCTCCCCTGCTAATTTCTCCATTCAACCCTGCATGTAATATCCTGCACGCAACACAAGGTGCTTTGAATGGCTTTGAGAGAGAGCAGAAGCAAAACAGCAGCAGCAGATGACGGCTGCCTCTAGCAAAGCCACCACGTGCTACATGATGCTCAGCATAACTTGCCCGCTTCATCCCTGCTGCCTGCAGGTCTGCAGCACAATGTACACACCTGGCAGTACGTACACTCAACTGATATTTGGCACTAACCTTGGGCACCCTAGTCTCAGGGAAGGCAAATCTGACATGTTTGCAGGGGTGGCACAATCTTTTTGGAGGGCAAGGTGCTACTGCTGACTGCACCTCCCTATGGCCATGCCAGCTCCTGGCTCTGGCAGGAGGTGCTGGTCTCGAGTGATGTTGCAGGGGTGTGAATGAATGCATGTGTGTGTGTGTGTGTGTGTGTGTGCGCTTGTGTCTATGTGTGAGGCTCAGCTTGGAGGAGCTGCTCCAGAATTGAGAGAAGAAGATGGCTGTGTGATGGCCAGGGACCCTGTGGATGCTGCGGAGGCTGCACTAGTGCCAGTGTGTGCATGGCTGGCAGAGCAACCTCTGTCAAGGGCAGGAGGAGGATGGGGGAGAAAATGAAGGGATGCCAGTAACACACAGGCATAAATAAGGAACATATGTGCAGTGCCAAGAGTCAGGCCGGTGGGGTGCAGATTAGTTGGCGAGATAGATCTGGGTTTGCTTCATGCTCCCTCCCAGCATGAGGAAAAGCTGGTGCCACAGACAGGGGGACACACACAACAGGCTTTTGAAGGCAATGCTAGACATGGCAGTTTTGCTGTTGTCAGCCCAACTGCCTTCAGAAGCCACCCTGACCTTATTAAACCTACTGGTAGGAGAAAGGGCCCTTGCCAATTTAATTATGAGACCAAACTGGTGGCAGCAGGTACCTAGGAGCACAGGGCTGGAGAGGAGGGCTCTGTCAGGATGGCCCAGACTTGCTGAAAGCATCACTTTATGCTCCAGTTACAGTGGGAAGATCTTTGTGCCACACTGCCTTGGGACATTCTCCTGCTACACTGCTGGCAAAGAACCACATCAGGCTCCCACCAAGCCTGCACTACCCAACAATATTTGCTCTGCTCCCCTGACTTTTCAGGGTCCGGAATTCAATACTGGCTGCATGAACTGAATCAAAGTAATCTCCACCAACATCTTAGGAGGGAAAAAGGAAAGAAAGATAAGGCCTATACATTTTATTTAGCTGGAAGATGTCTTGGTGCTGAAGGAGATAATTTGCAGCCTTATTTTCTCTTTCTTGAAAACAGACAAAAAGCCAGGAGAGTGAAAACTATTCTGTAAAAATCCATTCTTATTTCTAGGGTCAAGACAGAAATTGTTTTCAGGCACTGCTTTTTATCTTATGTATTCCTTCTGATCCCAGGACTTTGGCACAATATCCTGCCACAACCAGTAGCTTAAGTGCCAAAATCTGGTGATGAAGACTATTTCATGGAAAATACCTAGAACCAGGAAGTGTCAAACTGCCTCAAGATAGCATCTCTGCATGGGCACTGGGCAGCTTAGATACCTAGTGCTGAAGGGCACTCCTGCCTGCCTGTAACAGCCAAGTATCTCCCATGGAAAACCCAAAATACAGGCATCTAGGTTCAGAAAGGGAAGTGAAAGACTAGCAGAGAGCCCTTCATTCAATCAGCACACAGGCTGGAGCTCCAGAGCCTCACCTCCCACGGTCCCTGGGCAGCCTGGTGCTTCAGCTGGATCTGCCAGTCCTCTGTGTTTGGTTCTGCGCAGTGGTGCATGGTTAAAATGACGGGCCGGGTTAGCAGGGCTCCTGGTGGGCCACAGCTCACCACCGGTGTCAGCAGGGTTTGACTGTCTTCTACAGGTGGCCTGATGAGGAGACAGAAAGATGGATACATTAAGTGAGTTGAAAAAGACAAACAGGTTCATTCGGGTATGTAAAAATTAAAAATCCTTCTCTTAAAATAAAAAGATCGTGCAGGCAAAACAGGTGGTTTTAGTTTTCATTTATTTTTTCAAATCCAAATTTCTTTTCCATTTTTTTTTGCCAAATATCACTCATTTGTCAAAATGCAGGCTTAGGTGTCAGCAGATTATAGATCACATTTGCTGAGTGCCCTCCACTTCTGAAGGATCCTTGCAGATGGTATGCAGAGGCTTCATTTCACCCACTGCCAAAATGTGGTCACTGCTGCATTTGGTAGTTGTTCAGCAACACACAAAAATGAACGGTGGCTCTTCTAAGCACCACATGTGAGGACTATTTAATGTCAGGACAGAGAAAAATGAAGAACAGAGGAAGACAATGAACTGATAAGCCTGTCTGAAACCTCTTAAGTGGAGATGTGCAGTTTGAGTTCTGAATTATCACCAAACCCACTGATGCTCCATTTTACTTAAAAGGCATTCAGATCTACTAGAATGGCTATTGCAAATATGCCTGCAGGGAGCAGGCATCACTGGCAGCGATGGAGAAAGGATGAAGGGATGGTAAGGGATAGTGCAGAGGGCAAAACATACTCTCAAAGCCCAAATCAGTTAAAAACACAGGTATTATCCAGTGTGCTTGCTGCCAGTTACTAGGAATGGGTGTTATGGGAAATCATGTTAATATTTAGGATACATAGTGCACACTGTAGTTTTTAAATGATAGTGTGCATGTGTGTGCACACATGTGTACATGTGCAAACCATCCCAGAGCAGCTGCTGAGGAGCTTAAAACAAGAGGAAGCATGACTGACTTTAACTATCCTGACATCTGGTGTATGACAAATACAACTGAATGTGCCTCATCAACTGCCTCCCTAAATAATAGAGGACAAGTTCATGATCCAGAAAACAGCAAGTGGGAGATTAAAAGCATTCGATGTGATCTGCGCTTAAACTCCAGATCTGCCCACGGGACCTCACATCCTCTGCTCCAGCAAAGGGTTCAATCCCTTGCTGCATTTACAAATGAGAATATATTTGTATTGATCTTAGTGAAACTTATGGAGACAACATCACTGTTTATTTCGGCAAGTCTTTGTCTTTACCAAATGAAAGACCAAAAAAAGTAGCTGTAATCTTAGATAATGTTTTCAAGGAGACCAGTTTAGGACAGAAGCTATTTTGATATCCAATTTATTGCACCTATGGCTATTGCAAATCTATGTTCACAGGTATAATCTAATTTTGTCCTCCTTACTTCTCCCTGCCTATCTTATTAATCTCACATAAAATGAAAGACAAACTTTTGAGAAATCCTTTTTCAAAATGAGGTGAAGGCACTTTTGAAAACTGTCCCTTGTTGCTACAGGTGTTGTGGGAATTTTTTATGACATTTGAGAAAAAAAAAGGTCTGGCATTGAAAAATTTAAATGTATGCAAATCAGTAAATGCAGATGATATGCATCTGTGGAAATTAACTGATGAGTTTACTAAATGACTGAACAATTGTTTCTGAAAATCCATGGACTGGAAACAAACAGCTGTGATATAGATGCCTTTCTAAAAAAGATGTAAAGCATAACAATCTGGACAGCTATCATGTATTACACCAGCTATTTTAGCCTGACAAACAGTACACAAAACAAATGAAACACTAGCAGATAGTCCATCTCCTCTTGCATACCACAGGGAATCTCTGGATTCAGATTAAGAAGATGAGGTATCACTCTCTTGCAAGACCAGACTGAATAAATCATTGAATAGTTTTTCACTACCACATTCATTTTTTTCCAACTCATTTACTTTGCTATTTTTTTCATAAGAAGCAACAAGAAGCCTAAAAAACACTTACAGTGTGGTGGTGGTTTTTAATGGTCATTGACCTTGGGCATTAGTGGATATCTGAACATTCTCCTACAGTCTAATTCAAGACATTTCAAAGAAACCATAGTGTCTTATGAGAAAGATCTCTCAAAATTACAATATTTGTCTGGAAAGCTACAGATATGACCAGCTATAGACTTAATCATCTGGTTAACCTACCTTCATCTAAAAGTACTAACCCATGTAAAAAGAAGGAAAAAAAGTACAAGTTATCATATTTTTCTGGACTAAATTACAAACCCAGCAGCCAAAAAGAATATAGGAGTGAATATATAATGATTGCCATAAAAAAAAAATACAGTGCCTTTTAGGTGAAAAATGAGTAAAAATCAACAAGCACTGATGCATGTGGTTCAAAAAACCCAGAAGGTCATTAAAAAACAATATAGTGCTGATAAATCAGACAGTCTAAAATTGTCTCCAAGTAAAGTTAAATTTAGTCACTGCTCCATGGCAAAATTTTGTTAACTGTCAAATTTTAGGACTCTGATGAAGGGTATGATTCTATGCTGCAACATTTTATATCTGATTAGGAAAAGTATAAAAAAATCATACACAACACCAAGTTGGAATGCGTTGCATATTGAGCAACTGAGATGGGAGGTGTATACAAGAATACGAAGGACATCTGAAAAGTATCAAGGCCTAATATTTTTTACCCAAGTTGTTAAACAGCATCTTTGTCACCAGACTTATAAGATTTATTGGATGAGGTAGGCATGGTTGTGACCTGGCTATTTATGATACAGGACAGTCTGATTAGTGAAGAGCAGAAAAACAGGCCAGTTGTGGGGGTGCTTGACTTTACAGCCCCAAATTCCAGACCAGACACACATTAGAGAGCGGTATAACAAAATTACTGAACACCTGCCAGTCCTAATGACTCTCCACCATCCACCTCATACAGATAAACCTTTAAAAACTGAGATGTAATGACTTGCAGAGAAGTTCTCAAGTGCTGTGAAATGGGTCAGTGACACTGTTGAGATGAAATCTCAGCTCTATTGAAGTCCATGCTAAACCTCTCTCTGACTACTGTGAGGCCAGGATTTCTACTCACAATGTGGAAAACAATGCAAATAGCAACACAATCATTACATTTACAGGTAACAATTAATAAGGAATCATTGCAAGTAACAGTGGGAGAAAATAATGCAAAAGTTCCAGAAAGGGTAAAAATATGAGAAGGAAATAAAATCCTATTAATTGTACAGTAGCTCATGCTAGAGCAAAACAAATTCCAAAGAGTTATTTGGTAGCAAAGAAAGAAATAAAGTGAACAAGATTTCAGGTGATCTTGCTGCAACGCAGCAGGCATCAACTTGTAATGCGATACAGTGGCAAAAAGCACATCTGATTTCTGGTGCTGTATGGGACAACGCATGTCAGAGCACACCACAGTGATATTCCCTTTCCTATCCAGCTCTAACATGACTATAGGTAGCAGAGTGTTTAGGGATTGCAACAAGATCTCAGAAATAAACACCTGAAATTCAGGGGGATGAGGTTAAACCACCCAATGGCACCCATAGAGCAGAGAGGTGCTCTATGACAACTGACAGGACAAACAAACAAAAATCTCTTGACAGATTTTTTCTCACTTCTCACTGTTTTCAATTTCCATTTTAAAACAAAAGGATTATGCCTTCCTATAGCTAATGAGAACAGAAACAGATGCAGTAGACAAGATATATTATACAAGAGATATTAATCTTTCTGCTTCAAAGCATGAACCCAACACTAATTGATGGAATTAGTAAACAACAAATTCCCCTGAAGACAAGTTATTGTGTAGTCACTCATTATGGGCAATTTTCTTCCTTTTCCTGAAGCAGGAGATGCAGCACCAGCAAAGTCAGGATCCCAGTCTAGAGGAGTGCCTGTTGTGATCCAACATTGTGATTTATGTGCTACAGATCACAGGAGATCCAGCACAGAGACACAGGGATGCATATAGAGCAAGGGAGTTAGCTCCTCTAAACCAGAAAGATCTATAAATAGACATCTTGAAAACTGGGGTCCAGAACACACTTTTACGCTGTTATCCAAAAAAGAACCCTAAACCCAAATGCTCCCAAAACCCTACCCATATGTGCTTCACTTTAGGCTTGCAGCAGTCTTGGGAAAATTTATTAGAGGAGACTTGCACTTTCAGCTGCATGACTCCAAAGACATGGTGCATGACCATGATATAAGCTGTATGTCAAAGAGAAGTTTTTGTTTTACAAAGACCTGAGACTAAAATTCAATTCACTGCTTAGCATTTTTATTAGAAGGCCCTAACAGTAACTGGAAGGTCTTCAGATATTTTACGATGTTTTCCCATGCCTCACAGCTTATCAAGAACAGTCAACTTATATTTAAAAGCAAACAAACTTTTATTCACTATATCTGGTCCCTTCACAATCAAATTTGTGTCTTTAATGGGATTACACATTCAAAACCGTCTCCCTGTAATAAGCCAGACCATATTCATTAAGGTAGCTGTCAGACAGCAGATGTAAGCACAACTAGATAAATCTCTGCTCCTCAGTGGGACTATATTGTGCTCCCTAACACCATGTGTACATGCTACAGGCGATCACAGCAGCTCAGGAAGCACAAGATGGAGCAGGGAGAGAGGAATGGCTACCTTGTAGCAACAGACGGCAACCCTTCTACAGAGCTTAGCCAAAAGCTAGAGGGAAGATATTTTATTTCTCCTTTCATTGCTGGGGCTTTACTTTTTAGTATGTGTTCCTTTTTAAGTTTCAAACTTAATATTCTGTACTGACCCTGGTTCTTCTGCCAGCCTAGAAGGAAAATAATCTGAAAAGTTTGCTCTCCCTTTTTGCTCATGCACTGATCTTTTTTACGTTGAATTTTTCTATTACAGTGACTGGCAGTTCATGAAATTGTCTTCTGGAGCTGCAAAGTAATTTTGTTTATGCAACTGAGATACAGAAGGAAGGTGAAGAAACGAGATGTGGAAGACTTCAATTTCTTTTATTTTACATCACTAAGCCTAAAGTTTACTGGTGAAAAAGGCAACATTGCTCCTTGGATCAAACTCATTGTTCAGCTGCTTGACTTTAATGTACACTCTATGTCTATGCTATAAAGCCATTGATACAAATCCTGGCAAGGCTCACCTGACCCTTCTCTCTTTTTAAGTAGCTAATTTGGAATTTGTACATTTATGTATGTCTTCCATCAAGATCTTCAGGAGTGCTGCTTGCTCTGTTCTTCAGGGTTGTCACATTTTGTGGGCACAGTGACATCCACTCTCATTTGCAACACCTCCTGTGTGATGGATTATACAGAAGTGTCCTTCACAGTGCTATATCTGTTTAGTGCAGTTCTTGCCTGTGATTAGAGTATGCAAGAGCAGCTCCACCTAAAGCTGTGCAAGCTCGGCAGGGGTTCACACAGGAACACGGGAACTGCCATACAAGATAAAACCAGTGGTCCATCAAGAGCCAGACCCCATCTAGCACTGACCACTGCCAGATGTTTCCAAAGGAAGCACACAGCTCCACTAATTTAGCTCAGAGCTACATTTTTTTTTTTTAACCTGAGGCAGTAAAGAAAATATTGGAGGTTTACACTCATGCTATTTAACCCTTAGTCATGTAAGACCTAGGCTCTCACAGATGCTCACAGGAACAGGCTCTTACCAGGTACCGGTCAGCACAATGTGCTTATTTTACAGATGAAACCACAGCTCAAACAGAGCAAATCTCAAAGTTGGTGACACTTCCCCAGACTAAGGAAGAGAGCATCTGATCACCACTGAAAAAGCCACTGAGCTTCAAGACAGAAACCTGCCTGATAGCTGTGAAATATTCTCATGGGCTTGCCATTTTTTCAGTTACATATATATATATATAAACACACACATATACATATATGTGTACAAACATCCATATATACATAGATATCCTTTTCCCCACTGTAGTCACTTCATAAAACACATGGATCATTTCATGAGGTCAACACACCAGCCAGGGATCAGAGCCCAGTAGCTTCTTGTCATCCATCCTGCCCCAAACAACAGGCAGAATGAGGGTGAGTTTGCAGGACAGAAGCAGGAATAACAACCTCCTGGAGTAACAGTCTAGTAAAAAAGAAAGCTCACTGTGCCACAAGTATGTTAACACAGAGAAAACAACTGCCTCCAAGTGGTGTTTACTGCAAGCTACCAGAAACCCAATTCACTGCAGAAGGATAATGCTTTTACGGTGCTCACATGCTTTGATGAATATGAAATGTAATAAATAGAGTGTCTCAGAAAGCTCTCCTAACCAATTCACAAGGCAACACAAAGAGCGATATTACTGGGTCTTGAAGTCTCTCAAATTTCTGTACTATACCTTTCAGAGACTGGGGAAATGTATTAAGAAAACAAAGGAAGGAAAAGAAAAGGGGGAATTTGCAGGAGTCTGAGAGATAACAGATTTTCTGTTTCAGCTTGACTGTTCAGAAGTAGTTGTGTGAGCTAAATCTTAAGTTGCTGGAAATCTGTGATGGGGAACCTCTCTGTTGCTGCACTGGTTGCATCATGGCAGTGCTATGGAGACCACATTCTCACCTCAGTGGTAGCTGTAATATCAAAAACAAGACCCTGCCTTTATTTCTGATTATAACACCCATTTTATAATTTCCTGTATGTCCCCTTACAAACTACATCAACACATAACAGGACTTTTCAACCCGCACACATTTACACTGTGCTCATGAAAATAAATACAGGGTCTCACAGGGTTTGTTGAATACACTGCCATTACCGCTTGGCCACAAAAGTGAATGTCTGCAGCTAGTCCTTACTGGGGACTATCACTCTCTGCTAGAGTAGTGTAAGATTGCAGTAGCAGATTTAAAAAATAATTACACCACACAGTAACTTGTGGTACCCATATGACTCCAATTATCTGTGGCCCATGTAGTCAGAAAAAGCAGCTTTGACTGAGCTGCAGCTCTGCTACATCAAGTGAAGTATCTAGTAACAGGTCCTGCAGCAGGAGACAGATACAGCTGGGTGCCACCCACCCATTTCTGCTCCTTGGCACCTGGGAAAAAGGAGCAGGTAACACGGGAAGATGCTACAGTTCTGTGATGTTTAAGCCCTTTTTAGTGAATATTCCATTCTGAGTGATCTAGACAACACCTGATGAGCTCCATTTTACGTGTCCTAGAAAAAGCTGGTTTCCAAGAGCATGAAAAGCCTGGTATGCTTGTGGGTAGCTAAAAAACTGCCACAAACCAAATAAGCAGCTGGAGTCTGTGTACCCAGGAAGTGATACCACCACAACATGATGAGGCTCTGCTGCCCCACGGCCAAGGCAGCGTGCTCTCTGCTCTCCTCTCCTTGGGAAAGAAATCACTTCTAAAGTCTTCATTGTAAGTGAGGACTCACACCTTTTTGTTTACTTCTGCAGGTGTACTTTGGCATACTTGCTCAGTTTGGCAGGCAGAACCTCTCCAACCATGCTTTTCCCAATACAGGTTAACCTATCCTTCTATTCCCTGTGTGACTTGCTGAGTAACAGCTATCACAAAGCACGCAGAGAAGGCTTTGTGATCCTTGAGGAAAATAAATTAGACTAGCATGTGACATTAGTTGTCCACAGCTGCATGAATAAGGAAACAGGGATTCCCTCCATAACTAGCTGGAAAGGAAATAATTGCACATATAGCTCCTTATAGGAATGAAATATTTTTTTAAATTTTGTTTTTGTTTTTTAAGAATCAGGTATTTTAGAAGGGGAAATTTAGAGGCAAGTTGAATAATAGGGGATGCCATCTGATTTTAATTTTTTTTCCTTCTTCAGAAAAGAATCTTTTTCAATACTGCTTGTAAACGTCTTTAAAACACAGCCAAAAGTAATAGGAATAGAATCAATACTAGCTCTGAACAGAGACATTTTTCTGTAGCTGCAATTAGCTATTTTCAAAGAGTACACGATGAATAATGTATGCAAAAGGGTGGGTGGGAGGATTGCTTAATTTTTCTTTAAGCAGATTATTTTAGCTTGAGTGAAAGACTACCAAGCTAAAGAATAGTGTTCAATATCACACACTGTATAAACAGCTGCGGCTTAGCACATAATAAAAGCTATTAAGAGGCTGAGCCAAAAAACATATCTAGCTATGAGGAGGAGAAAGAGGCAAAGTACCGTGTAATGACAGCCTTAGTTTCACATTTGCCATTCAGCCTTTGTGGACGAGTCTATTCTGCAGCCTAAGATCTCACCTTTCTCTTCATTAGGGTTTTCTAAATGGCTTCAGATGGTATTTTGGCCTTTTTATTACAAGTCTTTTTTTTTATGTCAGGGTTGCCAGATCATGTGGGACTTATTAAGATCTAGAATATGAACTGGCTACACATGCAGATAACAGGTGACAACAACAGGGGTCATCCCAGGGTTGGCTCTGGGTGGCCCTTGGTGTGCGTTGTCTGCGGCTAAGCAGCAAGGAGATCGAGGACACCAAAACCTTCGGCTCCATCTCTTCACTGCACGACTAGCCAAGCCCATGAAGGGTAAAATAAAAATTCACCTTCACTCTAATAGGAGGGGAGATTTTCCAAGTCAGATGCTTAGGCACCTGTCCCCTCTGCTGAGCTGATTTGTCACCTTGCTCCACTGCTCCCTTCTCCTTTGCAGCACTGGTCTTTATCAAGAGGTTACCTTACACCTTCTCTGCTGCACCAAGCTCATGCTGGCACATTTTCCTCTCTGCTGTGATTTAGCATCCCCCCAGACTGAGGGCTTGCTGCAGAGTGCAACTCTCGGTTATAAAAGCAAAAGTCTGAGCTGGTTTCATGGCAAAGTTTATCTTTGGCTTTGCTTGCGTTTAACTCCAAGTCAGCAAACAGCTTCAACGCAGTAGGCTTTGCATAAGCATATTACCACAGGTCTTTAGTTACTACATTTTCCCCCTCTGTTAATGCACAAGGAAATAAAGGCAGTTTTTTACCTCATGTTCTCCTTTCTGTGAACTGTCAGATACATTTCATAGACTCTGCCTTGTGGAACGGCCCCTGCTGGGATCAGCAAGCTTACTCCTGCAGAACAGAAGAGACACAAAAGGTAAAAATGGAGAAAAAAGGGGCAAGTGGGTCCATGAAGAAAAGTGACAGGAGAGGCAGAAGATGAAGCCTGAAATGCCAGATTTTCAGCCAACCTAACCACCAGACTCTAAATGATCTCAGCAACTTGGGAGAAAAAGTATTTACTGTAACCCTGGTGTCTCCAGCATCCAGCTGCCTGTTCTTACTCCCCTTTGCCTCTGCATGGAAACAAGGGAGTGGAGAAGAGGATTTTCTTCCCTTTTATTTTATTTAAAGAGCAGACAGATGGTTACGCTGTTGCTTACCTTGTAAAGTGATGGAAAAACAAACAACTCTGACTAAAATTTCCAACAGCTGTAACGGGACAGACATCTCTCCCTAGGCAATTCTTACTTAATTAAAATCAGGAAAGAAAAGCAGTGGAGCGCTGTCCCAGGAAACAACAAGAACTAGTTGTCTCCTGAAAGATGGCTTCTTGCACCTAGCATCCTGTCTTTTACTGCGCTCAGCTCCAAGAGTACCATGGAGACAAAATTGGATTTCTTGGCACTCTTAATGTGCCTAGTCCCGTAAAGTGGCTCAAAACTGGAGTATCCAGCCTTGAAAAAAATGTGGGCAAATATGCTCAGTGCCCTTTTCAGTAATGATTTGCTGCACACTTGATTAAAAAACACTGCTCTTACATTACTACCATTGCAGAAATGTCTTGTCACTACACAACAAACACAGCCCACCAACCAGCTATTTCACTTTTCTGGACACATCTCAGCCAGCTGTCTTTGCAGATGTGGATTAGCTGGACATTAGTGGCAAGGATTTGAATACAGTTATTACTATATAGCTGAAAACAAATCTATGGGCAGATTATTTACACATATGTCTACACAGGAGAGTCTTTATAGACCCCTTGAGCGGCCCTGTCTCTTTTCTTTAGCATACGTGGTTTGGTTACACTGGAGACCTCCCACGTGTTGGTGTACAGGTGCTCAGCCCCATACCTGGTTTTGAAGGGGAGGGATTAGCTAGGAAAACATTTTCCACAAATGCCTTGTGACATTTGTTTGTTTACAGGCCTGTTACAACCTAATCTGTGCACGTTCGTAGTTATAACAGTGCAGGCGTAGTGCAAATGAAGGGCTTTGATCACGTCACAAGGAGGATATACATATATCTAGAAGCAGCACAGAGGCATACATGGTAGCAGTAGATGGATTGTTTTATTTTACAAAATCATTACTTTAATCATTTTGAAGGGATTACAGCACTGAACTTTTTTCTTCACAAATTGATATTAATATATGTGAATTAAATGTGACTAATAGACTTTGCTGATAACGTGCACTACCATGGCATAAGAAACCTGAGTATTAATATCTACCTTCAGCTGCTACTTAGAAAAATGCGAAATCCAAGACCGTATAGCACAAATTTTCAACATTGCTCAGCAGTCAGCACCAGATTTACTGAAGTAGTTCAGCTTTCACCTAAATTTAAGAGATATTTTTTCCTCCTATTCCACAGTAGCTCAGAGAGGAGGGCCAAGGCTCCAACTACTTTTGACTGCTTCTTGGGCTGTGTGTGACTGCATCCTGGAAGGACTAAACCACCTAGGTCCTGGGCCACCTAGGCATTTTGCTTTCTCCATTACATCAACAAATAAGAAATGATCCAGCAAAGGAGCAGGAGACAAGGCATTATATCCTTGCCCAGGGCACTTGCTGTAAAATGGCCAAGCTGTGAGCTGTGGTCTCACATGTGCTATGGTCCTATCTGAATTCAGAGAATTTGGGCAGGGGTATTCCTGACTGCTGTGCAGCCTGCATATCCCCCCACCCAACATTGTATGCATGTGACCTATTGCTCACTTCAAACGTTAATGCTGCTCTTTGGTATCATACTAAACCCACTGGAACATCCAGGTGCTGAACTTCCTTTGAACATCAATGCTTCATTTAAGAACCAAACAGCAGTATGGCTCTGATAAAAAGATCTGTCTGCAAGAGCTGAGCTCTCCCAAGGCTGCCCAACAGCTCTCTGGATTCTCTGAAACTTCTTACCAGTGCCAAGGTGGCCTGAAGGGGCCCAGAAGCCCAGCTTCATTCCGTATGAGAAAGACTAAGTAGCGCTTTGCAATTACATCAACAGGTCCTCAATGCTCAGTCCCTCCATTTCCTAGTTGTAAAGGAAGTCAACAATACATACAACACGGAGAGAAATATGGAAAAGACACTCTTGGGCCTTATTTTCCTTGGGTATATAATGTGTGCAGGTAAAAAGCCTACTACTTCCAAAAATAGTATTCTGCCGTCAATTACACATAGTCTTCAATGAATTGGAAGTGGAACAACTGATTTGTTTTTAAATTATTTTGTCCTTTTTCACGTGTGATGACAAAATAGAGGCTTACTGTACTGAGGTCCCTTTTCTAGGACTGCAGGAAAGGAAAAGGTGATGCTGAATTTCATTTCACACAGTGAAGGTCTGAGGTCTTGCATGTCTCAGAAAGTGGCTAAGAGCCCTGCAATATTCTGTTTAGAATCACAGAATGATTCAGGTTGGAAAAGACCTCTAAGATCATCAAGTCCAACCATTAACCTAGCACCACCACATTCACCACTACATTATGTCCTTAATTGTTACTTGGGAGAAGAGACTGACTCCTATCCTGTTACAGTCTCCTTTCAGGTGGTTATAGAATGTGATAAGGTCCCCTCTCAGCCTCCTTTTTTCCAGGCTAAACAACCCCAGCTCCCTCAGCTGCTACTCCCAAGACTTGTGCTCTTGTAGTGAGGGGCCCAAAACTGAACACGGTATTTGAGCAGTGGTCTTTGTGGTACAAAGGAACGATCACTTCCCTAGTCCTGCCGGGCCCACTATTTCTGATCCAAGCCAGGATGCCATTGGCCTTCTTGGTCACCTGGGCACATTGCTGGTTCATGTTCAGCTGACTGTCGACCAGCACCCCCAGGTTCTTTTCCACTAGGCAGCTCTACAGCCACTCTTCCTCAAGCCTGTAGTGTTTAAAAGGTGGCCAGAACTTTGGGTAGAAAATATTTGAATTCTTTTGGTAGAAGCAAAAAAAAGGGGGAAAAAACACCATCGGGTTGTTTTGATCAAAGAAAAGGCAGAGTCCCAGGTGTGGACTTTTGTCCCACACACAAAAAAGCACGCTAACTCCACTTAAACCCACAGAACAACTGTTCCTTTAAGCCAACATGGCTAGCACTTACCTGAATTGGGAATTACTAGGTGACCTCCTAAGGAGTTGAAGGTCCCAAATGCAGTGCACGATGGGTCAGTTTGCCGAGCAAGGCTCTGGTTCTTCATGTTCAGGGTCTCATTCTCCAGAAGAGACTGTGTAATCTGTGGGGACAGCTTGGAAGAGAAGTCAGAGAGGTCGTCCTGGGGAGTGACTGCACCAGAGGTGTTATAAACCTTGATCTTCAAGTTAGGGAGAGGGTCCAGGATTGGAGAATTGGTCATTGGGATTTTATCAGAGACATCATGCAAGGCGTAAACAGGACCCCGGTACATGGCTGCAGCAGAAGTGAGGTCTGGTGGCACTGCCAGGAGGTCTGCAAAGGAAATGAGAAGGAAGAACCACATTACTTCTCTATTCTGATGACTCTGCTCTGAGTAACAATTTGGGTTTGCATTCTGCATTTTGCCTTTTATTCCAAAGGTTCAGATACTCAAAGTCCCTGACCTTCATCTCCATTTCCATGCATCCTTCCAGCGAACTCCCAGGGGTTGTATTGCCACAGCTGCTATGGACTCCAATTGTCATACAAAATTACAGCATGTTTCTGCTATGAAGATTTTTCATCGGGATTATTTTTCCAGGGTGCACTCAGATTTCAAATACAACATGCTCAACATCAGGGCAAGATGTTTTCCTCACTCAGTAGATCTAGTTTTTAACTAATACCCCCTTCCTAAATGCTATGCAACATTTTATCTAACTGGTCTAATGACAGCATTCCTGAAATAAGACACAACAGGGCTACGAAGCCATCATGTCCACAACTCCCTGCAGTGAGGGATTAGTACCTGCATTACACTTTTTTGAGATTCATATTAAAAGTTCCTCCAGCAAAGAAAACAACACTTCTGCTAATCTTCCACATGACAACTCTCTTGTCATCTTAACTTTTACTTTGATTTATTCTTCTGGAGTAGATATGGGGAAAAAAGAGGAACTCTTCAGACTAAATATTGGTCTTGAAAAAGGCAGCACTGCCTTTCGAGTGTTTTTTTCTGGCCAATGAAGTGTGGAAATAATAAAGCTGTTATGCATCAGTGAAAAAAATGCTCATTATTAAATGATGTTCTACCACAACTTTTTCTACATTGTCTATTGAAATGCACAGTCCTTCTCAAACTACCACTTATACCTGTGGAAACAGAGCACAGGAAAAAAGGCTATCAGTGAACTAAAGGGGAGGAAGATGTGATACAATTACTGTATTATCACTGTTGTTTCTATCAAGCTTTGCCTTTGATTTAAATTTGAGCTAGACCTACATTTCCATAAGCGTTTCTGTGTTTCACTCTCACATTCATTTCTCTCTTCAGAAGTTAAACACCCCTGCTTTATACTCTTGAACACATCTGAAAAATGTCAACATGGGTTTTGAGCACTTGACTATCAGAAATAAATGAACATGGATCTTTCTCCCTTTTATCAAGTGTCAACAAGCATCCAGTGAGTATCATTCATGCAGCCCAAGAGAACACAACCTTATAGTATCTCCCTGAATTGGTCAAAATGGAGTGAAATGAAAACTAACCTTGCCTTGCAGCCTTGATGTTAACAGGCTGAAATCCCCCATTTAGCGCCGAGGAGTCAATAATATCTGACTCAAAGTCACGATGGTTCTTGCGATAGACAAACAGGGCCACAGCCATGGAAATAGCCAGGCACACGATCACAGCTATGACGATCCCAACGTAGAGAGCGACATCATCCGAGTCAGGAGCAGCTAGAGGGAGAGAGGCCAGGAACCTTGATGAAATGTGTGCTCCTCACAGGGACTTTCAAGAAAACACATTTTTATTATTCTTGTTTCCTGCAGATATTTACTACCTTTTTTATAGGATAATTTAAAATCCATTTCCAAGATCATATAACAGGTGTATGCTCTTTTGATGGAAAACAATCTTTGATTTCTCTCTAACCTGTGTTCTTACTCTTTCCTTATCTACTCATTCATCTATTTAGTACTCAGGGTATGAACTACTAAGCACAACACGTTACAGACTGAGTCTCACAAACCAAATTCACCCTATGAAGTAAGATGGTATGTCTTAGTGACATAGTGTCATAATACTGGTATTTAGAAGTTTATCTGATAACAAAAACCATATTGTGTGTTTTTAAACTTCAGAAGCCTTATATTTTACTTTTAAAAAATAAAAGAACCTGAAATTTCCATTTCCTACGGAATACCTGCAATATCACTATCTTTGAGTTTGTGGGGTTTTTTAAACTGTAATATGTCAAGTTATTCCCTTCCATCCATTTGCCTTTAAAAAAATAAACTAGTAAAGCAGAGAATCAAACATTGAATTCTCATCATTGGCATTAACACATACATATTTGGATAAAAGCAGAAGCAGGCAAAAGAAAGAATGTGGTAATTTGCCAAAAGGAACCCAGATTTATTTGACCTGTCTTCTGAGAAAATGGCTATGATATTTCTACTAGCTGCTTATACCGTATCATCAGCACCAATTCCAAGCTAATCTCTAGCATCATTATCCACTAGACATTTTTTTCGAAAAGGTCTGAATATGTGATCAAAATTTGATGTGTTTCTATACAGTGAAGAATCCCAGTTTTAGAAATAGCCTAATGAAAAAAGGAAGTGCAAAAACAAATCAGACTTTTTAGTACCCCATTTTTGTTAGTTTGAAACATGTGAAATCACTTTTATTTTATTTCTTTTAGCCATTTAAGCCAAGCTGCCCTCCAGCTGAAAAGGTGAGAGCTGGCACATGTAGAAAGGGAGTGATCAATCTCCGTAAGCTCCTGGCTATCAGACCTCCAATCTACCAAACTTGAAGCATCCCATTTTTAACCCAGCAGTTCAGGAAGCAGATATCTGAGTTCTGACTCAAAGACAAGTTACCCTTCCACCACATTTCTTCCATTTGCTAAGGAAATTTTAATGAGAAGATGGTTCATTCTCTACAGTTTCAGTCTCTGAGGTAGCATCTTCTCCCACTTCCCTCGTGCCCTTACCATTCTGTGTCAATCTGCAGACAGTAAAACACTGTGACTGCTGTCAAGCAAGCAGCATGTCACTTACTCTGCTGAATAGGCCCCTCTTTGCCGAGTTACACAGAGCTGGCCTAACAGTAAAGCTTGACTCAAGGAACAGCATCAAATCAGCATCCAGGAACATAAAATCAAACAGTAAACTTACAAGAAAATCCATATTCATTCTGGGTTCTCTGTTCAGTTGAAATAGGATAAATGAAACCTTAAAAAGAAAGAAATTAAACAAAAATGGGAAGAAAATCAAATGAGGAGAACAAAAAAGTGAAGCATGAAAAATAGTTTAATTAAAAAAAAAAGGAAAAGAAACTGATGGCATTTTAAAATTCTGATACAGCACAGAATTATGATTTTGCATCCCCTCTCTCCTCCAGAGCCTTACTAAGAATTAATAAGCAGGCAGATTGAATTTCTAAGCCAAAATCAGTCTCGAGTCACTAACTTTGGAGTGCTTAAAGTCTTCCTTTTATTGAGCATAAACTCTAATGGATCTAATATATTTCAGACATCAAGGGTCATTAGCATATGGAAAGTCTTTTTATCCCTATGCCTGCCATATGCTTTAATTCCCAGGACATGCTCAGTGAGGCTCTAAACAGTTTTTATATTTAATTATAATAGCGTGCTGTTGATCTAATAGAGCTAAAGGAGACCTGTTGTCACTGGTCAGAGGTTAAATACCCATTCGCTGAGCAGAGTCTATGCACAAAGCCATCTCTCTGCATTTCCTTAAAATTATTTTATCCTGTCTTTAATACATGTTCAATAGGAATTCCTTAAGGAGCAAAGAATTTGTCAGCAAATGGTAAATTGAGTGGCTTTTCTTTGAAATTATTACAAAATCAATAAGGCCCCTGAGGTCAGAACATTACTTATTTGAAATCTTTGCTAGCACCATATATTGACAAAATCATAACATAATTTACAGCTGTATTTCTGAATGGATAAATAAGAGATATCGTTTCTTTTGTCTTTTCTTCCTGCAGCCCTTACAGCACAGCAGGCTGTTAGTTCGCATATGAGTCCTGCGAACTCACTAAGCATCTCCCAGCTTCTTTTCATCCATATGGGAAACAAGTGAAATGCTCCCAGTCCCATGCTGCTGGAAAGGTAAATGACAAATCCAAACTAAGCAAGGGAGTCACTGTCTGGAATGGGATTAGAGTCGGTGTAAGACAGAAGGTACCTCTCCTCCATTATCTCCCCTTCTGTTCTTTTAAAGGGAATTTCATCCCTTCCCCTTGGATCATGCTTGCAAGGAGCTCACACAGCTGGGGGCTCCCTGCAGGTGAAATAAAACTGGAAAATGCAATCCTGGTGTGTGCCTAGCACACAGGACCACATTAAAGGCAGACCAGAGTAACAATCCCCAGCTCCCACAGCCACTGAGCTTGGGTGCTCGGTATCTGTTGTGCTCTAAATATCTCTTGTTGCTTGGCTGCATTTTTTGGTAATGAAGACATAGTCTATCCCAATCGCAGGTATAGAAATACCTCCCTTCAAAGTTTCCAGACATTAATTATCACATAAATGCTATCTTCACTGAAATACCAGAGCAAAACCAGCTGGGTTTTGATGGTGATGTTTTTTTCTGAGGCATCATGGGACAGAATATATTGCCTGTAATATCTATTTAAAACTTTATTTCACAGTAACTATTCCAGCCTTACAATTGCTTTTAGGAATATTAAGTCTTCACATTAATTTCTTTGATTCTTTGAGGCAAGTTCACCTATGTGTACTCTCAACATGCATATACAATCTTTCATTAATAACTGCTCTTTAGTTATTACTGGTGTACTTGAGGTATTGGCCATAGAAAGTCAGGTGAGTAACTTCTGAGGGCTTGAGTGAGTGCTCAGCAAGTCTGGGCATGAATTTACATTATTCATTATTAATTACTCCCCACTTGCTCCCCAGATGAAATTTCAGCTATAGACTTATGCCTGGTATTTCCTTTGGTAAGATGTCTCTGGAGAGACCAAGAGACACGCAGCAGGAAATGGAAGGCACAAGGACAAAGTGGAATTTAGGCTCTGAATACCTTTTTGCCTCATACTCAAATCCACTGGGAAAGCTGAGGATATCTCCCTGCACTTCATGTGCCCCAGCATGTTAATGGGGAATCTGGCATGGGGCAGCACATGTCCTCTGGCTCTGCATCACCCATGGAGCTTCAGCTCACCTGTGTAGAGCTGAAAAGGAGAGGTTATTTTCTCTCCTTTGCATTTCAGATAGTAAGTTTCGCGTTGTGCATCAACATTTGCAAGGTTGTGTGTCATTCCTGCCATGTCTGAAGTGATCTAGCAACTGAAACTCAACAGGCACAAAAGATGGCACCACCTGGATTAGCTGTGATGTTACTGAAAGCATTCTTCCCTCACAGGAAAACAGAAATTCAAAATCAAGTTTTTTCAGCAAAGTAAACAACTGTGGTCGTCAAATATTCTAAAAGAAATTTACCTCACTGCAACCTCTCCACAGACCCTGTTTGTCACAAATATATATTTGTGTCTTACAAGTTTGCACAGATTTTCTTACTGATAACTATGGAAAGCATCCTTGCAGCTACATAAGAGTGACACCAATTTCTTCTACAGAAATGTTTTGTGCATAAATTTACTGATGCATCTGTTGAAACAGAAGGAAGAGGTAAGGATTCTGCTTGCTGCTTTTATTAGCCTCACAAATTAACATGTAAAGCGATCTTGATTTTATTCTTCTACGTCTGCTGTAAATTGAACCAAGCACCCAACTCCATCCAGGTGCTTCCATGCAAACAGTCTGGCCTGTACAAGTGTCTGCAAGGACACACTGTCAGCCTGAAATATGTGGTTTTTACACAGAGGCAAAGCATGGCAGAGGTGGAAAGGTTATGGGCTGCTAAGTGAGATGCCATATGTCTGAGTCATAGGCACACCAATTTTTTGTTGAGAACCAGGAATCCCAGTTGATCCATCTGGCTGTAGATAGATAGTCCTTTTTGGGGAGATGGCACTACACAAGCTATGCTGAGGCGGTCATACAACCCTGTTTGCTCACAGAATGTGACCATCTCCCGTGGCTGAAGCTAGCAGAGACCTTACCTTGGGTTTCCAAGCTGGCAACCCCAGACACTTGCTGGCTTCAGATATCAGCTGCATTTTCACTTGTCTGTTGAAGATCCCTCAAACATGGCAACTACAGACTGATACTTGCAATTTTGGTGGGAATTTTTAGAAAAAAATTAGTTTTAAGCACTCCTTTGTCACTCTTCCAAAAGGGAGTGGGCATTGCAGTGGCAGAGGTAAGGGGAAGGCTCGCAGCAATGGGCAGGAGGTAATGGGCAGGACACAGGCTTGTTGCCAGGATCCCAGCAAAAGAGCACAGGCTTTTCCTATAGAAAGTTAGCTGTCACACTGGTCCCTCTTGACTATGCCTTCAGACAATGAAAAAGGACATTTTCATCAGATAATGACACAAACCTGATGGGATAAGTAACTGAAATAATGAAGAATGACTTCCCTCCTCTCTTCAAAGTAATTGCAGTGAAAAGAGATCTTTTTCTTGTGTATTTTTATCTTTTTTTCCCCTTTCTTGTATTAAGCACTGCTTGGCAAATACCTAAGGGACTTCTACCAGGATGATCAACATTTTTAACGACGAATTTAGAAAGGTGCTGGTGGGTTTGACTCTAGGAAGAGCCTGCTGAGGCTGCTGGCT